AGAATCCATGCCGTTTCAATCAAAAGCCAGAACTAGGGAGCTACTTATGCTGAACAGAAGTGGCATCCGACTTGTCACAGGTTTTCTAACTGGACACTGCGGAGTTAAAAAACATTTATTGAATCTAGGTATTACTGGAGACGATAGCTGTAGACTTTGTTACGAAGAAGAGGAAACAGCAGAACACATATTGTGTCACTGTGATAGTCTTGCAAGACTCAGACTTCGCTACTTATCCATTGCCTATCCGCTTATAACGGAATTAGGTAACATCTCTCCAAAGGACATACTGGCATTCTTAACTGCTACTCGTCTATAGAACTGAAGTGGGTATGTCACAATAATCCTCGAGGATGCAGTGACGCGGAGACTACTTCCCAACCCTTCTTTTGAAAAAAAAAAAAAAAAAATCACAAGAAGAACAACAGCATCAGCAAGGTATTTCAACAGCAGTAAGGATGTATTTCTTTACGTATATTAATATTATTATTTACTTTTTTTCAATAATTCAATTAAATAAAATTGAATAAAAAATTAATGTAAATGAATAAATATATTTTTATTAACATATTAAAAATAAAAAAAATATATTAAAAATATTTAATATAAATAATAAATGTACAATTAAATAAATTTATTTTAAAACTAATTCTTTCGAGCACTGTAACTGCGTTCACGCTGGGTGTATTAAAGAAAGAATATTTATATTTACTAAAAAATATATATCATATATATTTAAACAAATTTGTGGGTTGTAAAAATTGAAATTTGTAATAATTCTCTCTCAGACAAGAAAGGTCTGCATAATTTTTTTTTCGTTAGCATTGGATATTTGATATTATTTTTATACATTAATAGTAAAGAATTCTGGATAACTTAGTGAAAAACTTTTCTAAAATGGCCACAAACACTACGCCATCAACTACAATAACCCAAGAGACAATCAGCAGATTGATCTCTGTCAATCTATTATCCCTTAGGGAAGAAGTTAGGAGTTTGAAATGTCAAATTCAAACACTGACAGGTACAAATAACGTAGTGGAATACGAACCACAAGCAATAGACGAAACAATAACGTGTGACGAAAGTCTAGACATAATAAAATTTATTCCAGAATTCACTGGAAATCAAAATTCTTATGTTAGTTGGAGGGAAGCAGCTCATAATTGTATGAGCCTTTACATTAGAGGTAGTCGAAAATATTTTGCTGCCCTAACCATATTAAGGAATAAAATAGTTCATCAAGCTAACGATGTACTAACTAGCCATGGAACTGTCCTTAATTATGACGCCATTATAAGCAGACTTGATTTTGCTTATGCTGACAAGCATCCAATTCATGTCATTGAACAAGAGAAGAGTATCCTTAGACAAGGCTCATCCACAGTCCTTGACTATTATAATCTGGTTAATAAAAAATTAACCCTCTTAATCAACAAAACAATAATGACTCATGGCAATGACTCGTCCATCACACGAGAATTAAATAACAAGAATCGCCAGAACGCCTTAAGAGTGTTCATTACAGGGCTACACGCTCCATTAAATGACATATTATTTTCCCTGTCACCAACTGATTTACCCAATGCACTGGCTAAAGCTCAGGAGCTGGAAGCCAATAATTTGCGTGCAAAATTCGCATTCCAATTCTCTGATCAGAAAAAAACTTTTAATCAGAATAATTTCTCCAATAACTTGCGCTTTAATCGCGCAAATGTAAATAAGCCCAGGCAAAGTAATTTTCCTAAGCCTGAGCCAATGGATGTTGATACATCCATACAACATCCTCAAAACAGACATATACCACAGTTTCGAGGTAACAACAACAATTTCTGGGATCCAAATGGATCACCACAAAATCATGGAAGGAGGCAACGACCCTTCAATAATTTAAAACATCGTCGCGAAAGTAGCGAAAACAGCAATCAACCGCAGGCAAAGGCCCAGCGGGTAAACCATATAAAGGAGAAGAGAGTCAACAATATTAATGAGAACCATTTTTTAGGTCCAACATCAGACTCCCTTTCATTTACAGGAGGGACAAAGAAATAGACCGAAACCTCCAAATTTTAATAGATACAGGTGCCACAGCTTGTTATATTAAAGCTGGCATCTATAAAAACAAACAAAAATTAAGCATTAAGAAAAGAGTCAAAACTATCAATGGCTATACTATAATAAGCCATTATCATCTCGTTCATCTTTTTGGTCATGAACAATTATTTTACGAGATAAAAAATCTCGAATCTGACTTTTTAATAGGTTATAATTTTTTAAAAAAGATTAAAGCAACGATTGACATTGAGCAAGGCTTGCTCAAATATGAAGGAGGACAAGAAAAAATATATGACAGTAAGACAACAAGAGGCCAACCAGATCTAACGACTCAAGATCAAAATTTAAATAAATTTAACATTCCGGGAAAGAATAATCCTGGAAAGCCAGCCGAAGATAATACCGGCAAAAATAAAAAATTAAATAAAAATAAAAATTTAAATAAAAATATAAATGGGGAACATATTCGCCCACCATTAATAAATAATATTAAAGAGAGTTCAGAAAACGATATTTCTGAATTATATTCTCAAGATGCCTTAATGGAAACTTCTACATTAGGATCTTTTAATGTACGGATAAAAGATAACATCACGTACAATGAAAATGAGAGATATTTAGGGGAAATACGAAAAAAGGTTAGGCTTGAAGCCACCTTAAAAAATAAAATAAATAAACTTCATTCTAAAATAAATATGGAATTACCATTCAGAACCGATATAAGGGCTGAAATCAGAACTGAATCTGATTCTCCTATCTGGAACAAGCAGTACCCTTACCCATTCTCTGTCAATTCATTTGTGAATGAAGAGATTTCAAGAATGTTGGAATTCAACATTATTCAAGCTAGTAATAGTCCATATAATTCTCCAATATGGGTTGTATCCAAAAAAGGACAAAATCCTGATGGTACTCCAAAACATAGACTAGTTATTGACTTTAAAAAACTGAATGATCAAACCATTCCTGACAGGTATCCAATCCCTGATACCAGTATAATTTTATCAAATCTTGGGAAAGGCAAGTACTTTTCTACAATAGACTTAGAGTCAGGTTTTCATCAAATACTGATGAATGAAAAAGATGTTGAAAAAACTGCTTTTTCAATAAATAATGGCAAGTATGAATTCCTCAGAATGCCATTCGGTTTAAAAAACGCTCCACGCATATTTCAAAAAGCTAAGGACGATATCCTGCGCTCATATATTGGCAAAATATGTCACGTCTATATGGACGATATAATTGTTTTTTCTGCAGATCTAGATCAACATCGTAGAGATTTAGAACTTATCATAGAAATACTGCACGAAGCAAATATGAAGATTTCCCTTGAGAAATCAAAGTTTTTTAAAACCGAAATTGAATTTTTAGGATATATGGTCGCTCATAAAACAATTAAAACCGACTCAAATAAAGTAGAAACTATTCTAAAATATCCTGCTCCACGCAATATCAAAGAATTGCGAAGCTTTCTCGGACTAACCGGTTATTATAGGAAATATATAAAGGATTATGTAAAAATTGCTAAACCTTTAACTATCCTACTCTCTGGAGGAAATGGTAAAATATCCAAACATATGTCTAGTAAGGTTCTTATGGAATTGAATGAAGAAGCCCTTAAATCATTTAACCTTTTAAGGGAATATTTACTAAATCAAATTGAGCTCACGCAGCCAGATTATTCTAAAAAGTTTGTTCTAAATACCGATGCTTCTAATATAGCAATCGGAGCGGTTTTATCTCAGGAATCAAAACCAATAACATTTGTTTCTAAAACTTTAAATAAAACAGAACGAAATTATGCGACTAACGAAAAAGAATTGCTTGCAATCGTTTGGTCGTTGAAGAATTTAAGAAACTATTTGTATGGCGTAACAAATCTAGAGATCCATACGGATGATTTGAAATACTTGATCGATGAGATGTCCAAATACCATTGGATATGAATCTTGTCATTTGGCTATTGACACCAAAGCTAAAGACGCTGACGAGGTGCTTTAGCAAATAGAAGTTCCAATCCTATTGGATGGAGAAAAGACGCTTCTAGAAAATTCTTAGAAATTTTAGAAGCTCGAATTTAATTGGATAAAATCCAATTTCAGATTTTCAATAACGACTTCAGGCATCAAAGGAAAAACTTTGAGTAGTCAGTCGTTAGGAGAAGTCAATAAAATGAAGTCGTTGTGGTCGGTCTCGTTGCTAATAGCAACAGAAAAGTTAAATACATTAAAAAACAAATTGTATTCAATAAATACAAAAGTTAAAAATTACAAAAAAAAAAAATATTAATAAATAAAATATATTTTTTAAAAAATTAAATAAAGAATCCGAAAATTAATTCGCATGATGTAATTTAGGAGGTCCCATACTGGGGTTATACGGGTGTTGAAATACATGTCCTAATTATCCATGGTTACAAGTATGTAACCAGGTAAAGGACGTAATTGTAGTAAGTGGTCTGTCAAATGATCTAGGTTGGAAAGGTTATGATAAGAGAGTCGAGAATTTAGAATAGGGTTTAGGAAATGTTGGCACAACATATGTAATGGAGATGTGTACCAATGTAAAGAACTACAAATTGGTCTGATAGGATTGTCGGGTTTGTGGGTTTTTATAGTACCGTAAAGATTAGGCATTGTAGGTTATTCATTCAGCAATTTCTTAAGAGAGGCATAAATAGAATATGGTAATAGGGATGTCTTTCGTACATATAGGGCACAGAGGGGACGAGCTACTTGTTGAAATTGTCCTTGTATTCTACGTCCAAGTTCGTCATTATTACCTACATATATTTTGCAGGAACCTGTAGAAATATATTGTGTCAGCCAGGTATTTATTTTTTCAATGTAGTCGTTTTGTCTATTAATATTGTAGATTTGCACTTGTCTGATTGGACAAGTAATATACCTGGATTTGAGTCTAAGAAAGACTTAGTTGTATTAAATAGATGGAGCAACATTTGGTGAAAGGGAGATTGAGTTCTATGGTTTTCCATTACCTGTAGAAATTTTTTTAGTGCTCGTCTATTTCTGATCTACAATGAGATCATGAGATTCTATGTATGTATCATAGTAATTGTTCATAGCAACACTATGTGCTACTATAGGTACAGTTAAAGTTGCGAGATTTTTGAAACCAAGAGAGATTGCACGTGGATATAAAGTTGTGAGTAGGTTTTCATCTGGGATGGATGAGAATAACTGTGGCTTCAAGGACGTTTTGAAGGTAGCCATGAAGGGCTGTAATGAAGGTCTTGGAGATAGAGAGGATAATAAAGGAGGATGATGGTTAGGGATTGTGAAATTTAGCGGTGTTACATGTTGATTTGACAATCTTTGTGGATTTCTTGATTCTTAGATTTGATATTTGAAGATACAGGATTATTAATATTTAAAATATTCGAATTGACAGCTATATTAGGTAGGTATGTAGATATGTAAATAATCCTGTAGATGTATTTTGTACAATAGTTGTTTCTACAGTCGATATATAGGTAGATAGGTTTATAATGGTGTTTTTGGTGTTTCCAACAACAGATGTGTTCACGGATACTAAAAGATAGAGATTAGATAATTTATCATCTTTATTTGTCCTGGAAATGGCTGTATATATGGTGTTTCAGGTATGTTTTTGACATTGATTTAGTTAATAATATAAAATATAGTAGATATAAAATAATGTAAAATTGTATAAAATTATGAAAATTGTGAGAGATGTAATGGATAGTAAGTTGATAAAATTATGTAAAATGAAGAGGAAATAATATAAGAATTTATAAATTACTAAGAATAAGAAGTTTGAGATGATTTACCGTTTGATGTAGTTATAGGTTGTAATAATTGTGATGGAACAGGTGGTGTTGAGTTGTTGAAGGATGATACTGTGATTGGTGCTGTGGTGAATATAGTAGTGGTGGTAGTAGTCGGATTTGTATTAGATGGACTGTTGGATCTGTTGTTGATGGTTTTTGGTATATTTGAGGCAATATCTAAAATATAGATGGATATAATATTTAAAAAATATATGATAGATGCAGTTACTTGTTATATTTAATATTGGTGATGAAGCAAATGGATGAAGATTATGCCCATGTTATGGTATATGGGATGAGATAGTACTTGGGGATAATATATGTGTGGTATGACAGTGATGTGTTGTAGTGTTGGTTAAAGCATGGTTGGTGTGGATTTGTGGCTGATTGATATGCGATTTGTAGTTCCTCATCGGTATAGTAGTTGTCCATTTCTGATGTAAAGGCTGTAAAGATGAAAGTAAGATATAGTTTTTATAACTAAATAAAATATTTATACAGATTATAGAGTAAGTAAATGTCATGTTTTTAACATAAAGTTCTAAATTTTCATATTGTCTGGTTATTTACCTTTGTAATGGTTGTTTGGTATTTATTAGATATAGATATAATTTAATATATAATACAGTTATATTAGTATATTTGAATTATATTAACAATGATGGTATAAGATTGTATGAGGATAGATTTTTGAAAAGAATTACGAATTTGTAGTAATTTTTAGTAATAATAATAAATATAACAATTGTTATGTAGGCCTACGAAGAGATTTAGTTTTTGTTACAAGAGTTTAAAAATGTAATGAAGATGGTATCGGCGACGTCCCACGCGGTCCAAGATCACTTCGCGCAGCGCCTGTTTATACGACCAGTTTTTTTGTTGTTTGCCTTATGTGAACATGGCATAAGCTCTGCATCAGACCACATCTCCTGGTTTTATTTAGGTATATATATATATACTTATCTACGTATATATACTTTTGTTGCAACACATAATGCACTTTTAATACACTTTCTGTCAACTTTTTTTATTTTTGATTTTTATCACTAATCACGACTAAGAAAAAATTAAACTTACAATGTGCTTTGAACGCACGTTGCCAATGAAAAAATAAAAAAAAAGTGAATAAAGAAAGTAAAAATAAAGCTTTTACACCTGCCGGTCTTTTTGTGGTTGTCTGTTTTGATCTGTGCAAGTTGAGGCGAATTCCACTTAAAGCTTCACTGAAATTTGTGTAGTGAGAGGAGATGGTATTGCCAAATAGGAATAATCAACCAAAATACAAAAAGGCAAGTCAGAGTTTTGTGGAAATAAAAGTAGAGTGAGCTTTTTAATAGCTTTTTTAAGATCAAAACCAAAAGAAAGCCAGGAAAAGTCAGCAAAAGCAATTCACGAGAGAAGGAAAAGTGGTGAAAAGTTCTGAAGAACCTTTGGTGGTAAATACGGAATTAACAGAACCACGAACGTTACGGAACAAGTTCAGTTAGGCAAACTGGCCTATAAAATACCTCGCAGAGCTTTGATTCGTTCTTCTTTCTTTTCTGGTGGCTAAAGCTGGTGCATGTGAAGTGCTAATAAAAGTCAGTAATTTAATAGTGAAAGTGATTAATCAGAAATCAGAATTAAATTTAGAACATTTACAATTATATAATTAACATATAAACAATTAAAAAGTAAATGGAAAAAAATGTCAATCAAGTTGTAAATCAACATCTACGTGAAATACGCAGGAGTGTAATATATATTTTTTTACAAATATACATATTAATTTTTGCTAAAAAAAAAAAAACTATGGACTTATTGAAATTAAAGGAATTAATGTTGTAAAGTAAAAATATTATGACAAGTCGCGGGTAACAAACTGAACGCAAATTTCGAAATGATGTCTGAAAATCATCAGTGAACACCTATTACAGTATAATTAATAGAAATTCGGTTTTTGTCAACCCCAAACTCAAAAGAAAGAAAGATGAACATAAATTAAAAAAAAAAAACAGCAAAGAATTAGATATATATGTATATATAAAGCTATTTTGTGACCAACTATATGTGCTAATATTTGTGATGTTGCGGATGGTGAAGCAAAGTAAGGAGCAGTCCAGTTAGCGGAAACAACCGTAAGGAACTTACACCGGAAACGAAAAAAAAATTTTTGAGGAAATCAACGGCATCAATACACACCGTTAGGACACAACGGTGTCCAGGTATTCCCGCAATAAACGACTCAGCTTATACAGAAAAGTGCATTTATGTATTCATATTTTTTTTATATTTATAATTTTATTATGTACATTCCATTGTACATTGCAGAAGAGATTGATCTGCTAATTAACTTTTATAGAATTCTGATTAATTTCGTTTTTTTGGTTTTTTTTTTTTGAAAGCAGAGAAAAACTGTATTAAATGCTAAGAAGATTAGTTTTGAACCAGAATTATATAATTTATTGAATACAATCTTAAATTGTATAGCATTAAAAAGAAAAAAAAAAGTAATAATACCAAATCCTGCACATATATTGATTAAGAAAGAGAAAATTAATACTAAAGAGATATATATATATAGAAACATATAATTTTTTTTTGCTTTAATCATACATAAACACATATATATTGTTTTTTTTTCAAAAATTGTTTACAAGTTTCAGTTAGGTCAACATCACCGTGAGTGACGTCATTTCTGCGGCTGTAAGGTAAGCTACGAAAACTTATGTAAAGAGAAAATTTAATATCGCTAATTAAAAAAAAAATCGTATGTTTCCACATGATATTTTTCCTTTATTATCAGTGTTAATTTTTTATTGGTTTTATTTATTTCGCGGATTTAACAACCATCTCGTGTTGAAATTGCGTTCTCTTTATCCACTTAATTTTTTTTTTTTGATGCAAATCACTTAGATTTTTTTTATATATAATTTTTTCTTTTTTTTGTTTTCTTTTTCTATTATTATTTTTTTTATTGTTAGATTTAAGAGTTAAGTGTCCCTTAGACAGCAACGCGCGTTGACAACGCACGAAGTCTTCTCTCGCCATTACACATCAAATTTTACAACAATATATTTATTTTTATATAAATTATATTTTAATTTAATTTTTTTTGTTGGTATTTTTCAATAACACAATGCACAATGTAAACAATGTTCATATTTCTTTAACACGAGCGTGTTTGAAGAAATATGAACATTTTTTGATTTTCGTCAACGCATTTCTTAAAATTTCAAATGTTACTATTACACAAACAAATTTCGCATTTCACAAAGTAGGAGAACAGTAGGAGAAAAAATTCTCATGTGAGAGCGATTTTTTAGTATATTTGTTGTTTTATCTGGGGCGTGTTTAAAAAATTTTTAAAAAATTGTTTGTGTAATGGCAAGCGCGCGTTGACAACGGGCGATGCTGTCTAAAGCGCGGTGCAGACTATCATACTGGTATGTCATACGAGAGAGAAAAACGTTGTATGACACACAGGTATGATAGTCTGCCACCTTTACCAACGTGTTGGCGTGCTCACCAAAATTTTGGTGAACAGCTCTCGCATACGCGTTGTGTATGATCAGTGAACGAAAATAAACAGTACACTATCGTAGTGTACTGCTCATGTCCGAAACACATCAAAAAATTTTTCAAGTTTGTGTCCGCGAACACAAGAAAAAATTTTGTTTGCATTTGTATTGCATGTATTTTGTTTGTGTTTTTAAATAAAGATATTGCGTATGTATTTATTGATGCATATTTAATATTAGGGGATGAATTACATATATTTAATATTTTATTGTGGTTGGATGATTCGTATTACATTTATAATGCCAATAAAAGGCAAAAAACAAAATTTTAAAATTGTTTATATAATGCAGTAAAAAATTAAAAAATATTTTAAGAATTTCTGAATATCATATACAGTATTTAAATTATTGCGTAGAAATATAAAGATTTTATTGTAACAATACGTTTATTGTAATATACATATATTTACTTAATTAACAACTTAACAATTTTAAAATTTTGTTTTTTGCCTTTTATTGGCATTATAAATGTAATACGAATCATCCAACCACAATAAAATATTAAATATATATAATTCATCCCCTAATATTAAAGATAACTAAAATGAGCACTACCTTCGTGAAAAGATCGTTATAATGAGCACTACCTTCGTGAAAAGTACACAAACTCTAAAAATTGTTGAATTGTTTCGGACTTTTTTTAATGTACTGTTCGTTTAGTGTTTTTTAACAAAGATGACAAACAGTACACTATGTTTTGTACTTTAGTGTTTGTTTTCGTTCACTG